AGATGAAAAAGTTGCAGAATATGTGTCGAAGGTTCAGAAACTCGTCCATCTCATGAAGGGTTGTGGTGAAACCATTACTAATAAGATGATAGTTGAGAAGGTAATGAGAATGTTGACCTCTCACTTTGATCACGTTATCGTAGCTATTCAAGAATCCAACAATCTTGAAACCACTAAAGTGGAAGATTTGGTTGGTTCGTTGGAGGCGCATGAGATAAGGATTGTCGAAAGGAAAGGAGTTCAGGACTCGATACAGGCACTGCAAGCTCAATCATGGAAAAAAGATGATGGTTCCAACAAATTCAAAGGCAAGTTCGACAAGACTCATGGCAAGAAGTCTTGATCGAATTACCATAAGAATAAGGTCGAAGATAGATCTTTTGAATCCTCGAAAAGGGGAGGAGGAAACTATCGAAAGGAAAAAGAAGATAAGAAAGGTATGCAGTGTTATAACTGTGAAAAATGGGGACACTTGGCCAAGAATTATTGGTACAGAAAAGAAAAGGGATCGAAAGGAAAGGACGAAGAAGCGAACCTTGCACGTCAAGATTCAGATGATTCTGAAGATGGTATGATGGTTATGGCTGCAGTTGCAGATAACCATGTTGAATGTAATATTTGGTTTCTCGACTCAGGTTGCTCGAACCACATGACTGGTCGAAAGGAGTGGTTGGCCGTTTTTGACGAGTCGAAGAAGAGAAAGGTAAAACTTGCTGATAATAGTTCGTTGCAAGCAGAAGGTACTGGCAACATAGTCTTTCAAATGAGTAATGGAGGGAAAGCTATGATCAAATATGTGCTCTATGTACCTGGAATAAAATGCAACTTGTTAAGTGTTGGACAACTAGTTGAAAAAGGTTCCTCAGTTGTCATAAAAGATGGATTTTTGAAATTGTTTGACACTAAGAACAATTTGGTTTTAAAATCTCCGTCGAAGAACAGGACATTTAAGACTATGATCAGTTCGACAGAAGTTCAATGTTTGAAAACTGTTGTCGACCACAAGGATAGTTGGTTGTGGCATTTGAGGTTTGGACATTTGAATTTTTGATCACTTAATCAACTAATTACTCAAGATATGGTTACTGGTATTCCAAGTCTTGAGATGCCTGAAAAACTTTGTGAAGGTTGTTTAGTGGGAAAGCAATCCAGAAATTCTTTCGTTTCGACTATGTCAATGAGATCATCCTGCATTCTCGAAGTGGTGCATTCAGATGTATGTGGTCCATTTTAAGAACATACAATTGGTGGAAACAGATATTTTGTTTCCTTTGTTGATGAGTTTAGTCGAAAGCTGTGGATCTATGTGATCAAACAAAAGGACAAAGTATTCAAAATATTTAAGAGATTCAAGATACTTGTCGAAAACCAGAGTGAGAAGAAGATCAAAGTTCTACGAACAGATGGAGGTGGCGAATACACACCTAAGATGTTTGAAGATTTCTGTGCAGAACATGGTGTTGATCATGAGGTAACTGCTCCTTACACACCTCAACATAATGGAATTGCTGAAAGAAGAAATAGAACCATATTAGATATGGCAAGAAGCACGCTGAAGCAAAAGAATTTGTCAAAATCTTTATAAGGAGAAGCTGTTTCGACTGCAGTTTATATTTTGAATAGGTGTCCTACTAAGATATTGAAGAACAAGGTTCCTGAAGAAGTATGGAGTGGCAAACGACCATCAGTAAGTCACTTGAAAGTGTTTGGCTCTATGTGTTACAAGCATGTTCCTGATGCAAGGAGAAGGAAGCTTGATGACAAGAGTGAACCTATGATTCTGGTAGGATATCATAAAACTGGTGCATACAGACTATTCAATCCAGTTAATGAAAAGATTGTGTTGAGTCGAGATATTGTGATTAATGAAAATTCTGCCTGGGATTGGAATTCTAGCAATTCAATTAACAAATCATTAATGAACTTTGATTTCGACGAAGAAACTAATGAAGTAGAGGTCGAAGGAATTGTTGAGAATCCAATCAAAGTCGAAGAAGAAGCGGTTGCTGACACTCCCGTCACAGTCGAAGTCGAAGAGGTTGTGGCTGAAACAAACCAAAGACCTCAAAGAAATAGAGTTCTTCCAACAAGACTTCATGATTATGAAGTGATGGGTGATGATGAAATCACACCAGATGGAGAATTAGTTCATTTTTCTTTACTTGCAGATGCTGAACCAATCAACTATAACGAAGCTTTGAAGATTAACAAGTGGAAGTTAGCTATGGTCGAAGAGTTACAGGCAATCGAAAGAAACAACACATGGGAGTTAGTCGAATTGCCAACACATATAAAAGCTATCGAAGTAAAATGGGTGTTCAAGTTGAAACACAATGCAGATGGGTCAATAGCAAGACATAAAGCAAGATTAGTAGCTCGAGGTTTTCTTCAAAGAGCAGGACTTGACTACTCTGAAGTATTTGCTCTAGTAGCAAGATTAGAGATTGTTCGACTAGTAGTAGCATTGGCATGCAACCAAGGCTGATCAACATTTCATCTAGATGTGAAATCAACATTTTTGAATGGTCCTTTAGACGAAGAAGTTTATGTCACACAACCTCCTGGGTTTGTGATTCAAAAGGAAGCGAGTAAAGTATATAGATTGCACAAAGTGCTCTATGGCCTCAAGCAGGCACCTAGGGCATGGAACAAGAAGATCGACTCATACTTATTCGAATTAGGATTTGTCAAATGCAAATCAGAGTATGGTGTTTATGTTCAGGTTGTAGCACAAGATATAACAATCATCTGCTTGTATGTTGATGACTTGTTAGTAACTGGAAATAGTTTGGAGAACTTGTCGAAGTTCAAATAGCTGATCACGAAGGAATTTAAAATGTCGGATATAGGAAAATTGTCTTATTTTCTAGGCATGGAATTTCAAATGTCGAAGCAAGGTATGGTGCTACATCAAAGAAAGTATGTCAAAGAAATACTCAAGAGATTCAGAATAGATGATTCGAATCCTGCATCCTCACCTATCGAACCAAATGTGAAGTTGGAGAGGAATGGAGAGGAAGACAAAGTTGATGCAACTTTGTTTAAGCAAATTGTGGGATCTCTGAGGAATGTGTGCAATAGTCGACCTGGTATAGGTTTCGCAGTCAGATTAGTAAACAGATATATGGGTGAACCAAGAGTGTCACATATGAAGGCTGCAAGAAGAATCCTTCGATATTTGAAGGGTTCAATAAATTGTGGAATACTATTTCGACGAGATTCTGAAGGCAAAGAAGCAATAGTTAATTGTTTTTCAGATGCTGATTGATGTGAAGATAAGGAAGATCGAAGAAGCACAACTGAATATTTCTTTCAAGTATTTGGTGCCCCAATCTCATGGTGTTCGAAGAAGCAACCTATGGTGGCATTGTCATCGTGTGAAGCTGAATATATAGCAGGAATCTATGTTGCATGCCAAGCAATTTGGATCAGATCTGTACTTGAAGAAATGACTGTCGAAGTGAAGAAATCTCTAGTATTGTAAATCGACAACAAGTCAGCCATAAATCTGGCGAAGAATCCAGTTCTGCATGGAAGAAGTAAACATATTGAAGCAAGGTTTCACTTCTTGAGGGAAAAAGTAAATCAAGGTGAACTTGAAGTTAGGCATTGCTCAAGTGAAGCACAGTTGACCGATATTTTCACCAAAGGATTGAAGATCGACAGATTCCTGAATTTGAGAAAGAAATTAGGAATAGTTCAGATTGACTATTTTTGAGGATGTTCGACAACTTGGATTATGGGGGTTTGTTGAAATATTAAATTAGATTATATTAGATTTGATTAGATTTAATATTTAATATAATCCAAGTTGTGTTAGCCCAAGCCCAATTAGGGTTTGTATATAAATAGTCATAGTGTGTATCATTATTTGTACACTTGAATAATACAAATCTTTATTTCCTTTATTATTCTCTCTTTCTCTCCTCACTAAAAGTGCCTCACGCACTAACAGTTTTTCATCGTAACTATAATTATTCATGCGTTTTTAATTAGTAACATGTCTGGCTAAATAGTCTTGAGTCCGGTGTATGAGGACCGTTGTTGCCAACGGACTCAGTAGAAAATAATAGGTGCAAATTTATGATTAGAATTCTGTTTTGGTTTTAATTTACAAGTCTAAGTTAAATAGCCTTGTCACGAGAGTGGAAGATTATTTAATATGATTTTGCCACGAGAGTGGAAAATTAATTAAGGTTTAAGCCGAGATCGCGAGAGCGTGAGGAGCGAATCGGATAGTGGAAATTAGACAACATATCTAAATACAGCGAAAGCGCTTTAGATACGTTTAAGATATAATTGGATTTCAAAATTTATTTCTTAATTACCGGGCGAGCGAGAGCAAATCTTGGGACTAGGAAATATGGCTTTAGTTAATAACGCGAGAGCGTGAGACGGAGTCTTTAAGTTAGTATATCCTACGGAACTAAGTTATAGTCGTTATTAGTACCCGTTTTCTATAAGTCCTTTAGGAACGCGGAAATCATATCTCAGCCTCGTTTTAGTATTATTTTCAAACATTTAGCATTTAGTATTTTTATTCTCCTTAATCAATTATTCATTAGCCTTAGCTTTACAAAGTGACGATAAATTACGGTAGATTGACATTGGTCTATATGGTTCGACAACCTTTTATATTACTTCGATATTTCCGTGCACTTGCGAGAAACTGTCAAAATTTGTAAACAACGCAAAAATTTCCAAAATCAATCTATCTCTTTAAAACTTAATTTGTGAAGTTTAATGATGAAAATGAGGTAATAGATGTAAATTAAATGTATGTTGAATTGAAAAAATGTTTACCTTTTGAAAGAAAATTGTGTATGGATTGCTAGCTGATAGGGAATGGTTAGTTGAGAAAGATTCAAAAGATGGAAGTAACCACAGTATAATGAAGGATGAGATAAATAGATTTTAACGTAAATGGAGAGAGAATAGGGTGTAGGGTTAGCGTAAATGGAAAGAATCCAGGCAGAACTATTGAAGAACATGTGTTTTTTTCATTTGTCACTTCTCATATACACAGGCTTAACATTTCTATTTCCCAAACACTTAAACCAACAACAACACCATGCATTCGCACGTTGGATCTCAACATCCTTGTTCTGTCCTATCTCCATCTCAGTAGAAGAAGACCCTCTTCCTCTCTGTTCAAAAAGCTCAAACTTTTCACTTCCACTTGACCCCGCTTCTCCTGAGTAATCAGTAACAAAATCTGTTTTCTTCGCCCATGAACGCAAGTCCCTTGGTTTTTCATCACTTTTTGGAACAACCAATGATTCTAAGTTCGACCCGGTTTTCATTGACACTTTTTTTGAACAAAATGATAGTGATAAAATCAACCCCATGTTTGTGAAAGAATAAAGATGAGATTTTATAGTAGCTGTAGTGAAAGTTGAGCAGCGCGGGTTTTACGGCCCAACTAACCCGGATATGAGTCTCGGCTCGATCCCGATTTTCTTTGTATTTTTTTCAACTTAATAACCGATTTTTAAATTAAACTAGAGATAAAATTAATAAAATCAGTGGTAAAATTAAAATTAATAAAACCAGAGATATATACAATGTTAGAACGGTTAAAATTTTTATTTAAAATTTCTGACTCCGCCACTGAAATCAAGAGAATAGAATAAGGCTGTTAATAGAATAAGGCTGTTGGTTGGATTGATAGTTGATACGTGAAGTTCAAGCTTCTCTTGCCTCATCACTTTCTCCATTCTCTTTGTTTTATTTTATTTTGCTGAGATAACTTTTCGGGAGAAAATCAATGCAAATTTAAAAACTTGGTTGGCTTTTTCCTTTAGCCTCAAGCCTTCAAGTATCTTATGCTGTGACGAATGCTCACTGATAGAATAGAGTAGTTTAAACTTTAAATTGATTTTCATAAAATACATGGCTGATCATATGATGGAATGAGCGGGTGAATTATATTGGATAATGATATAGTGAGAAATTATTTGAAGTTTTTTATTTGAAATTCTTTATAGTTCTACCGTTCTATAATAAAAATGGAAAACTAACACTTGCCTTTAACATACCCTCTTTAGTTTTAAAAATATATATTAATCTTCTCTAAATTTTTATCAAATAGATAAACATTTCTCTTTTTCATAAATACAATGCAAAAAAGTTGACATATAACATCAAAAAATTTAGTGACAATCAAGAAAATTATAATTCAGTGACCTTTACATATAATTTTTGTGTATAGAAGAGGTTAATGTCTATTTTAAAATGAAGGAGTATTTTTGTCTTTTTAATAAATCTTAGAGGTATGTAATTTTCCTAATAAAATAAATTAATTAAAAAATTAAGGTTTAATTTATCTTTTAATCCCTTAACTTAATTTATTATTTTGCTTTAACTTCTTAATTAAAAATGTCACACTTTGGTCCTTTAAAAGTGTTCAATTAACTTAATTAACTAGTCTTTCCGTTAAATTTTCTAAACAAAATGTTAAATATCACCTATATATCAATTCTGATGCTATTTTAAAATGTGACAAGGCTTTTTGTTTGCATTTTTTAATTTTTTAATCCAATTATTTTAATTAAAAGCTTTATTCTTATATTATTTATCTCTTTCTCTCGTCTCTTTCTTCGATCGCAATGAGTACTGATCTGACCTGATCAGAAGGTTTGGACCGTCACGGCTTACTCCGAGCTGAAGGCTTTTTGAACGAGGAGGGGGGGGGGGGGGGGGTACCTGCAAGGCACTCCGATGCTAAAGTCAGTGGGAGTACTAGCAGATAATAGAGTTGAGGTTAGAATGATGAATACCTGACCCTCTGGAAGCAGATGGTATTTATAGCCCCCAGCGCTGGGCCAAGGTTCCTTCATTGGGCCGGGCGGATTTGGCCCAATGGAGGAACTGCCAGGTTCTACGTGGGTAGTGGGGACCAGCACGTGGTCCCTTCCTGGATATGCTGCATGAAATGCGGGCGGACGGAGACGCGGTCTTTCCGGAGTATCGTTGGGGCAATGGAGGACTAAGTCTGCCCTAGCAAGTTAGCTCGAGACCATGTCGAGCTGCGCAGCACGGTGCCGAGCTCGACGCCAAGACCTCGAGCTGGACGGCGAATGTCGAGCTGGAAGCCAAGACATAGAGCTGGACGACATGCTGTCGAGCAGGACTTCATCGTGGGGCTGGACACCGAGAAGTCGAGGTGGGCATCAGGGTGTCGGGCACGAACGTGACCCCCTTTGCCCAGTGTGGTCCTTAGTGAGTCCCTTTGGACTGGGCCTTAGTAATGCTTTTGGGCCTGTCGGGCCCAGTCCAGAACAGGAGCCCCCCAAGTCGTGGTTCCTTTGCGAGGAGCCATGACTTGAAACAGTTGTTCCGTCGCTGAGGTCTCGTGCCCGGGATGGAGGCGTGGACCCTCGAGGGGTCTCCTCGTGCCGTGCTCGGAGACGTCCTCGATGGTGGATGCGTGGAGGATCCGTACCGGGCGCGTCAGTCGAGCACACGAGGCATCTTTCGGGAGTTGTGCCGCCACCCTAGGGGGGTAGGGCCATCATTGCGTTGGGAGAAGTGCGTCGAGGAGACGGAGTCCGTGGCTGAACGAGGTGACGTTTGGCATTCCACGTCATCACTATAAATAGGGTCCTTGGGCCCCATAATACGTTTTCCGTTCTCCGTGCTCTCTCCGTTGCAACTCTCAACGCTCTCTCCAGTCGTGACTTCCCGTCTCAGATTCTTCATTTCTTAGCCAAATCCCAACTTTGATCCAAGTAAGTGATCTATTTTCTTTATTTTCCTGTTTTAGAATGCATGATTCTTGGAAATTGTAGATGTTTTAGGACCGTTAAGGTTGGGTTAGCCCGGTAAATTTGTGTTTTGCCCGACAGATTCATGTCTAGGGCCGGCAAACGCATACTTGTGGCCGACACATTCATAGTTTTAGGTGAAAGACTTCAGAGCTGCCCGGGGTCTTCATGATCCTGGGCGCCTGATTCATGACGGTGCCCGGTATGTTTATGGTCGTGGCCGCGGGCTTCATAATGCGGCTCGCCATGTTCATACCTCGGATCGACATGCTTGAAGAGTGGCCGCGCAGTTGGTTTGAGGAAGAACACTGGATTCAGGAGAGTCGGGGAGGCATCCACTTGTGAAAATGGACTTGTGTAGTAGTGTATGGACGACATGATTATGTCGAGCATAGGACTTCATGCTCAATCTGATTGGTTTCCCGTGCTCTGCAGGTAACCATGGCGGATGAGCCGAGCTCCTCCGGTCGTCGTGATAGCGAAGAACAGAGTGCCGACGAGTCGGCCAACCTTATAGACACCGTGACCGACCCATCGCTGGAATGGGTGGGCGCCGAGCCTCGAGGGACGGCGTCGATATACAGTCGGGATGACTGACATCCATTCACCGCTATCGAAGAGGGGCAGGACCAGCCCGACTTCCAGCAAAATTTCGTGGTCATGCTGTCGTCGACCAACGCAAGAATTTGTTCAATGTACCCGGACTACGGCTTTGCGATGTACGAGATCGCGTTTAAAGACTTGGGGATGCGGCTGCCGTTCACAGACTTTGAGACCGGGGTCTTTACGCATTTGGAGCTGGCCCCGTCCCAGCTACACCCAAACTCTCTCGCCTTCATCCGGGCGTTTGAGCTGACGTGTCGCTACTTAAGGATAGGGGCGACCATCCCTCTCTTCTTTCGGGTCTTCCACCTACAGCGTCAGTCCCGAGGAGGGAAGCACAGCTGGGTGTCCCTGAAGCAGTCGAGGAGACTGTTTAGGATGTACATGGACTCTGTGAGGGGGTTCAAGGATAAGTGGTATGTGGTACGCCCTACTACCGACTCTGCTGTAGATTCCCTCTTCGAGGAGGAAGGGCCGGTCAGTGATGATGACGGGGAAGCAATGTTGACCGACGACGGGAGCCCCGTGTTAGGACGTCGGGCTAAGTTCCCGGTGTACTGGATGTCCCGGCACTTCGAGCATGGAACAGGTTATTTCCATACCGCAGTCGGGGACATGTGCACGGAGGATCAGCGGGCGTATGAGGCTCTCTGCAACTTTGTCGACAGTTTTCATCCCGCCCAGTGGGTTACACGGGAAGGGAATGATATCCTCGACAAGGACGGTTACCCAACATTCGAGGCTCGCCCGATCGACACCAAGGCGTTGGTGGAATGTTCGACATATAGGCAGGCAGCCCGCCTGTTAGGTTGTTTGTTTGAAATACTTTACTCGTCATTTATTTACGCGTTTTGCTCGATACTGACTTTTCTTTTACTTCGTGCAGGTACGATGGCCAGCCGACATGAGAGGGTCCTAAAATTGTCAACCGGCCAGAGGCGAGGCAAGAAGGTCGTGCCGGCCCCGCAAGCGACGAGGATGGGACCACCGCCAAGCACGAACGTTCCTCAGCCGGTGAGGGTGGATTCGACGTCGAGCTCGGGAGCAGCATCAGATCCAGAGGTCGAGGAGATTGACGCCAGCGCCGTTTTGACCCAGAGGAAGAGGACCCGCGTGGAAGGCGGTTCGACTGTCGGGGAGGATGCCGGAGCTGTTCAATCCTTTGCCTTCCCCCCTTGCTTCGAGGAGGAGGGCTTTTTCGAGCGGTTCCCTCCGACCGTGGTCGCTCATGAAGCCGAGGCCATAAAGAGGATGACTAAAGAGGAGAGGAAGTCGCGGCTGGTCGCCAGCGTGGACGGGTTGGTTAAAATGGCCGAAATGGCTCTGGTGTTATTTGAGGATGCAGGGGATGCTGCTCGTGTTGAAGAGCTCGAGCGGGAGAAGGCGGCCTTGACTGCGAGCTCGCGGAAGTTGAAGGTCGCTCTGGAACGCTCCGAGGGGATGTTCCAAGAGCAGACCGCGATACTTGATGCCGAGAGGGAGGTGCTGACCTTGGAAAAGGAGAAGTCGGGGAGGTTGACTGAGGAAGGGGAGTTGCTCCGGATCGACAGGGATCGTTTGGCTGCTGAAGTCGAACGCCTGGGCAAGCAGGTTGAGGAACTGAATGCTGTTCAGCAACCCGCCGAAGATGAGCCCGAGGACCTAGTGGTTTTGAAGAGTCGGGCTGAGCTTATTGCCCATATCCGGATCCTCGAGGCGGACGCAGTCGGTGCTCTGGAAGACGGGTTCAATTCTGCAGTCGACCAGCTCTCATTGCTAAATCCCGGCCTGGTCACCGAGGGCATCGGGCACACCCATCGGGTTGTAGGTGGCGTGATCATTCCCCCGCCCGACTCTCCCGGCGTCGACAATGATGATAATGTGGAAGTTTGATATTTGTATTCTTTGGATAGCGGGCCTGCGTGCCCTTGATATTTGAATTTGTATTCTTTGGG